ATGACCAAGAAAAGTGAGAAATAGTTGAACACAGGACCAGTTTGATGGATCATTGGTTTCCTTTTTATGGAGTCCAAATGATACTCTATTCCCAGCATGAGTAACATTTAACAAGCTTGGCAGTAAACGAGATCTGTTTGTTTCATTACCTTTTAAGCTATTTTGCCAGGCTATCCAAAAGATGTTTTCAGTCATTGCTGACAAATGTCACTCAACAATAGAAAGACACCACATGCAACAGTTTGGGGACACTTGCAAATGTACAAACGTTATTGTTGTGTTAAGTCACCCTTTATCCCTGTGGTTCATCAACTGATTGTCTGACCTTTCCATCCATCCAAATTTGAATGGCTTTGGGCACCAAATGCAGTTCTACACAGACCGAGCTCATCATCCAGGTTGCAATTAGCCAGCCAGTTTTTAATGATTATACTTGTGGAAGCACAAAGGATAAAATGACACAATTGCTACTGGGTTGGGCTGGGACATAATTACCAGCAGCTTAACCACCAGGGGCACTTGAATGATTGTGCATGCATTCTACATTTACAATTATGCAAAAATGGCAGGAGGGGGCAGAGAGAGAGAGAGAGAGAGAGAGAAGGAAAACCTGTCTTCTCACTTGACCTTTAAAACACCCTATGTGCTGATTGTAGAAAAAAGCATTTAGAAACCTTGATGGAATATTTATACAGTATATGTACTATCAGGCAATTGCGTTAGCGGCAAATGTTAAACAATAATATCTTAAGGTTGATATTTTAATTTAGCCAGTCCCTGGAAGATTCAATCAAGCACAATCAAATGGTGCACTCTTAACAAGCACAAGGTGAAAGCTGCTCACCAGCATGCTGAATTGCTAACAACTTGTCCTGCAAACATAAAACACCAGGAAGCTATTCCAGAATATTATTAGCTCATCGGCAAATGCATATATAACAGCTGTTATGGTGGGAAGTTATCATGCCAATGGCTGTGTCTTATATCAATTGGACGCCTGCAGCCAATGTCTGGCTGTCGATCCCAACCCTCCTAACACCGCGAAGCACATAATCAGTAGGATCTGTCTCCACTGAATATTCACCCTTTCACCCCCACATTGCCGTTTCCCTCCCTCTGTTTCTTATGGGTTGCTGCACACATACTGTACATTTGTCTCGCAAATTTCTTCTCCCTTTCCCTGCCTCTTTCTCCCAGCCATTTATTTCTCTGTCTTTTTTGTGTGTGTCACTGCCCCCTTCTCTCTGTCCATTCCTCTTCCCAGGCTGACCATGTACTGTTTGTGCACTGGGTTCAAGCAGCATAAAATGGCAATACCGATATGTTGAGGGTTATCAGTGCAACTTTAAGTCATTCAAACATTAAAATGCCAGAAGCTGGGGAAGAGCTTCTTGGGAGGATTGGTGCCTTATATCTCCTGATTCAAGGTGGCTTCAGCCAACTCGCATCTCTCTCTTTCTCCCCTTCCCTCCTGCCACAGCCAACTTGTTTCTCTGACCCTCTCTTCCCAAAACTACTATTTTTCAAGCGCACCTGCCCACTCCCTCTAGCTTCTCCAAGCTCTGATGGCTGTGTCTTTGAAAACACTGAAAAGACAGGGTGAGGCATCAAGAAACAATCATTTTGTGTTTTAGGGTGGAGGAAGAAAGGAATCACAATTCTGTTTTGTTTCAATAGTTTTATATTTCATAGCTACATTATTTTCTCTCTTTTTTTTAACAATATCCACAGCAAGCACTGTCTTTCCTTCCTATTAGCCCGTAAAAGATCAAACAGATGTTGGACTAGAATGCACTTTATTAATCCATTCATTCAATCAGCAGCGTCCATGTGCAGGACGCTTTACAGAGACCAATTCTCTGGGTTAAGGGGCTTACAATTTGGCAAGGGAACTGGAGCTCTGTGCCAGAGGGTTCATGGAAAAGGTGAACTTTGAGTAGGAATTCAGAGGAGGACATGGAGGTGGCATGTGGGACAACAGGATGGAAAAGTTGCAGTCTTTCATGGGAGAAGGATGCCTTTGGATGAAAGAGGATAGTGCAGCTCAAAGAACAACACTTTCCGTGTTTCTATGATACACAGAAAGTAAAGCAATAACTTCAGATCACACACATACTTAAATAATTGGAAAATCTAAGGCTGTGCCTGTAGGACTAGACTTACCACGTGCTATGCTGAGCCGTGTGGATGAAGGGATGGATAGGAAGGTGAAGAGGATTGTACTCCCATACACTGCCCACCAGCCCACCCTCCCAGCCAGTAGTTTGGCTGGTCACCATTGCCACCACAGCTTCCCTTCCCCTGCCCACCCATTGCTTCTGCTGCTGATCTCCCTCCAGGCCAGTTGGAGATTCCTGGCTGCTGACAAAGCCGTTGACGCACTAGGCACTCCCTCGTTTTGAGGTATTGTGGGTGAGGCCTGTGCTGCTGATCAAACACTTTTTCAAACAACACTTTAAACTATAATAGTCTAAAGTTTTCTCTCTTTTTTTTTTTAAAAAAAGAAGTAATTTGCACCATCATGGCAAAATGGTGGCAACACAGGCTTTCTGTAGGTGACTTTTCCCACTCTGAGAAAGGACCCCTTCCTCTGGGTGAGGGAGAACATGCTTTGTCGGCAGTGGAAAGCAGCCAGGTGGGGAAGACAAAGATAAGTGGGCAGGTAAGCAGGAAGGAAGGGCAAAGCCACTTCATTTGCCAAACTGAGGTGCCATATTGTATTGGCTATTTAAGAGGAAATCAGTTGTGCTTCAATGAGGGTGAGGATTGTGGACAGGAGGCGACACAATGGAATTTAAACTCCTCCCATGGGTTGACGTGGGCAACCAGCTAGGGTTACATCCACACCATGTATTTAAAGCACTGTTATACCACTTTAACAGTCGTGGAGGATCCTAGGAAGTGTAGTGTGTTAAGGGTGCTAAGCTCAAAGAGCAACACCTTTAACAAGCTAAACTTCCCAGGATTCTCAGCAGTATGAGAGGGCTTTCAGTGTGTGGTATGGACCAAGTGGAAACTCTGCTGTCCAAAGGCGACTGAATCCACACCTTATTTGCTCACAACAGCCTTGGTTACATGGCAGGGCCTTGTTTCCCCTCAATAATTTTATTTTACTTCATTTTGGTTACTGCTTTTACTTAGACATCCTCTTGCCGCCAAAGCGTAAGAGTCTGAATCTTTTTTAATCATCCAACTGATCAAGCTTTAGTGATTTGACCTTGCTCTTAAGCAGCCCTCTGCTTTCTTGCTGTGCAGGAAAAAGGATAACTATAATGAAACACCAAACAGAGAGGCTGTTGCTTGATTTTCATGGGTCCTCACTGTGCTTCCTTTGATTAAGGTAGAACATTTCATGCGAGCTGGCTCAAGGAACATGAATTAGAGTTGTATTATAAAAGGAAAGAATAAAAATCACACCATTTGCCTTGTGCCAAGCGTTTTCAGTGAAGAGTGTTTGTATGTTTGCCCCTTAGCTTTAAGCTGGAGCATCACACACACTGTTCTCAGATATACATTCTAAACAACTGCATATTAAAGTTAAATTTTAAGTTAAGAAAAATGGTTTACAGAACAGATGGAAATGATGTACCACCCATCATCAAATAGATGTCAGGGCAGCATACAGCATACAGCATATTCATATTATATTATTCTATGTCTAGCGTGGGTTGCCAGGGCCACACAGATGGGTGGGTGAGAAAGAGGGAAATGGATGGAGTATGCATGAACATTCAATGGCCTGACTGCATCCCCATCACCCAGGAGACTGCAGCTGCAGAGATAAGAAAATAAGAGTTGTTCCATTGTTTGGAAAGGTCACTTCCTGGTTCACATGGAGAAGCCGTTGTCAACAGAGCACAGTGACGGAAGTGTGCAGCTGTTTTGAGGCAGCAGCGTGTGGTGAAATTTTGCACCCCTAACAATTTGGGACCCGGGGCAACTACCCCACACCCCGTCACGCTATGCCATTGTTCTGTGTGTCTCTTCATTTTCTATTTGCAGCCACTCTGTTCCATTCCTCCTCCCAATGAAAGTCAGCTTATTTATTTATTTAGGAATATTCATACCCTGACTACTGACCAAAGTTCTTGAGGCAGCTTGCAATATGAAATAGACAATACTGCAATACTCACTACAGAGTAGTGCACCCGCCTTTGTTCTCAGATGTTCCAGCATATTCCATTCAGCAACTGAGTCTCCTGACCTAGAACTGACTGTTGAAGTGGCTAGATGTTAGTCTCACAAAGGCCAGGACTTCTTCACTGGGTGGCTGCTGCTGCTTCTTCTTCTTCTGTGGGCTCATCCAAACTCCCGTTTGTCCCACAATTTCTTCTGTCTGTTCCATGATTTCTAGTCACAGATCTGAGAGGCATTCCCCTTTTGCCCCACTGCTTTCCCCAGGAAAACTCATGGTTTCCCGTTGAATCGGAACAAACGTCAATCTGCAGAAAACCCGGTTGATTCAGTGGTAAACCATGGATTTCCCCAGAGAAAGTGGTAGGATGAAAGAAAAACCTAGCAGACCCATGCAGAGAAACCACAGGGCAAACACAAATGTGCATAAGCCCTCACAGATGCTCCACAACTGAACTGCAGCCCACCCCCTAACAGAGACCCTTAATCCCCAATATGAAAACATACATTCTAATGGTATATTAATATTTCATTTAGACACATTTGCCAAGGAACAGCATTTTATTTAGAAACATTTATTTAAAGAATGACTTTGAGTCGTTCCCCCTTGCAACTGTTAAGGAGCTATTCTGCACTTCTCTTTTCACACAGTGATTTCATTGTAATTACAATTGTACCCCAAAGACATGCCAGCTTACAGCCTGATCATCAAATAGTTTATGTTTATGGGGTTCAATATAAGATGAGCTGCTTGCCTCGTTTTCATTCCTCCTTGACTTGGCAGCACTCCAGTTTGTTTGCCTGAGAAGCGTTTATGCAATGCATGGCTCATCTGCAAAACTTTCCCTCTTTCTATATTTACGCAGGCAAGACTTGGCAATGTGCGAGGCTGAAGTGACTATCCTGGGAGTAGCTACAAAAGCAAGCATGTCCAGCAACCATTGGTCGACTTTCATTTGGGATACAACAGGACCAATATTTGTTGGCGGTTTACCACATCCTTATGCAACAAAGCAGGTACAACATTATACATCTTGCTGTTTCAACACAGTCTCTGGGCTTCCTAGCTCAATTCATCTAGGGGTGAGTTTCAGCACTTCACTGCGGTTCACCTAGAGTTCCCTGTGAAAAGGAGAATTAGACCGTTAAGCTACTCTGCAAATTGTAGTTCTGAGATTGGGACTAGGGCAGTGGTTCCCAACCTTTCTTTGGCCATGCCCGACCTAAGCATCCTTAAAATCCTAATGCCCCCCTCCCCACCCCATGACATATAATTATTATTATTCAAAAAGTGAACTCGTATTCACGTGGAAGAAGCCTAAAAGGCCATTAATTGGTCTAAACAAGCTTCCAAATTGCCTCCCTTAAAAATCAAATTGCCCCCCTGTGGGGCACGTGCCCCACATTGGGAACCATGGGACTAGGGTCTCCTAACAATGCTTAGCACCCTTAACAAACTACATGTGGCAACCACACAGGGTCCCCGGACGTTTCACCGTCTATTGATCCCTGTGCCACCACTTTATTTCTCGCTGCCACCACCCAGGCCCTACCTGGTACAATACTGAATCCAGTCAAGGTTAAATTGAAACATAAACTTTTGTTTATTTATTGCAGTTTAACAAGTGTGTTGTTTCATAAAGAGTATCAGTCAATTACATTCATGGGGTGCCTATCCAGACCTATAACTTCCGCTACCTGCTCTCACTCACTAAACCACCTCTCAGATATTTACTTGTCTGCCTAGCCCCGAACTGTTCCTGACTCAGCTTATTTCACTACACTAACTCAACCTACCCACAGACTCTATCCCAAGTCACTCCCACTCCAACCAACCACCCAACTCCTCAACAAACTCTTAACGAACCTTTGCCCCTCCCATAGCTGGTTTTATAGTCCCTCTGACTCCACCCCCCTGGGTTCTGATAGGGTAACCTGTTTAACTATTTCACCTCCAGCACTCTCATATGGTAAGTCACACTACAGCTCCCAGAATTCTTTGGGGGGGGGGAGTCAATGTGGTATCTTAGTGTTTTTACATGTATGGTGTGAATGTGGTCTAAATGAGAGCATTCTACACAGGCCTCACTTGTTAGGAATTCATTTCAGAAAAAAGGGAATTGTTTGCCCTTCTTATTACTGAATCATGTCAGGGAAGATAATAGTTTTGATTTATATTAATTTTTATTTTTTTAAACGCACCTGAACAGACCTACCTAATGAATATTATGGTTTTGGTTTTGCTAAAGTTGTATGTGAATGCCTCTCCATCTGTTCAGCAACTCATTTGCATTCCCCACCGCTCTGATGTAAGCCAAACATCTCATGCACAACTTGCTGGCTTTTGGGATGTATTCCCACTTCTCCCTCACATCTCCACCAAGGCCCTCAAGGACAGAGCCACGTACAGGAAGCTGGCATGCCAGTCTGCTGAGGCAAAATGAAAGAGGCCACCTACATATAATTATTTATCCTCAAGGATGATCTGCGTATGTGCAGCCAAAGGTATACCTTCCTATCCTGCCAAAGGGGTTACTGATGTACTCTTAATGGGTTTAATTTGGCATAGTAGAGGCAGCTGCAGTACTGGCAAGCCAAACATTACATTAGATGCAACAGCAACTTGTTTCCAACGCCTTCACCCAAGTCTAACTCACGTCATTTGTGTGCCCAGTGTCCCTGATTCAACTACAAATGCAAATCTGGAAGGAAACTTTTCAAATTGATGAGGCTCCTTTGACAGTAACAAAAAAATCCAAGCTCTTCGGTGTCAGCAGTCCAGTCCTGTGCAATGCGCTGCCATCAGAGATTCAGCAGGTGCCTTCCTTTTCAACCTTCAATCACCTGTTGAAAATTGTTCTGTGCTGCCAAGATTTATGCTGGCAGTTAAGAAAATATCCTTCTGCAATAGTTAGTTGAGTTCTGATTTTATTTTATTTTTATTGTATGGTTTTATGTATGATTGTTAAAAACGGCTCTGATGTTTTAAATTTATAAATAAATGGCTTAATTTGCTCAATGATCCCTTGCAGGACAGGAGCCAAATGAAGTTCATAAGATCCATAGTATAGCATGCCAAAACCAGGTCACATATAACCCTGTCAGTCCTTTGGGGAGATTTCTTCTGTACCACTTTCTAAATATGTTTGTTGCTTTTGGTGCCTCTAGATGTATATTGAAGCCCTGAGAGGGATATATTTATTTTGGAAATAAATCTTCATGGAATGCTGGGTTGGTGGCATGGACTGTTCTGAGTAAAGGGGCGAATTTGATATTGTTTGCACCAATTTAACTTTGCTGCTCCTTACACAGTACATCACACTGAACTGCATTGATGTGTGCCAGCAAATAAACACAGGGAATAATCTTTGACAAAACATATGTGTTAGCCAATTAAAACAACAAGACACCTCCTCAAGAAAACAAAAATCCTTAGCAATTTGATATTTTGTGACAGTAGAGTTCTTCATTAGTGCTGCATAGAACTATAACAGGTTAACAGTGCAGTCTTGGTAGCCAAAATCCTATTTCTGATGCCCTCACAGTATTCTCACCCTGTATCCAGTTTATAGAAAAAAACTGAATCCTACTCAAGCCATCCCACGTATGAAAATAAGAATTGTAAGAGTGAGAGGCTGGGTCTAGCCCTACCCCCATGTCTCTGTAAACTGTCTGCGCTACGAGTTGGCCCATGATGTCGAACCCTAACCATACAGAATTCTATTTTTCTAGAAAAAGAGGTGTCAAAACTCACTGTGAATGCCTTCCTTGTTATCTTAGAATGACAATGGCACCCACCTGAGAGGTGCCGGAAATGAGCTCCAGTGAGTTCTAGCTGGGAAAAACAAACACCCTGCTTCTGCATCTTGGGAGAGGGGCCTACATGGATAGAGCAGACTCTGCTCTACAGACTTGCACCCTCAAATGTGGAACTGTGCGAGGACAGGGCTGATGAAGACATGATGACTGGATACAGGCCATGAGTGCATCAGTCACACAAAGAAGACTGCCTAAATAGGCTTTTCTGCTTCTCAATATCTAGATTTGAAAAACATCTGAGAGATATCTTGCTGTCCAACGTGGACAGAGCAAGTAACCCACATTAGCAGTGCTTCCTCAGCACTGTTCTTTCTGCAGTCACAATGGGTGTTGGTGTCGGCATAAATATTTTTCAATGGTTATGATTTATAGTTAGTGTTGAAAAGTAAAAGTGGTTTCATACAATTGCAGGAAAGTAGTGGTGAGCTGTAGGAATGCAGGACAAGGAATAGTAGCCGTGTGGAACATACTCAGGCCACATAGCTTGACAACTCTAAGTCCTAACCCTCCCCTGCTCAACTGAGAATACTCAGGCCACATAGCTTGACGACTCTTAAGTCCTAACCCTCCCCTGCTCAACTGAGATTTTTCACTTCCACACCCCTCTTGGCTGTTAAAATGGCTGAAAGGTTTATCATGAGATGTTGAAATCATAGCACGTTGGATCTCCAGAAGATAGAGACAGCAATTGCATAGAATGCATGCAAGTCTAGCGTCCTGGTTTTATGAGCAATGCTCTCTAAAGCAAGCTTTTTTCCTTTTCACTTGAGTTTTATTGAGAGTTTGACATAGCAAATGCATTTGTTTATTGGAATGGAAAATAAATTAGCCACTGGAGTCATTACAATTCTAAAGAAATCTAATCATGCTGGCATCCAAGGAAACACAGAGGTGGACAACATTGTGGTCAAGGGCACCTACAAAGTCTCCTAAACTGCATTATTGTAGATGCACAATATTTGCTTTGCCTGCCACCCAGAGTATCTACAGCAATAACAAGGGCAAGAGGGCTATGGCTGCTCCTTGAGACAGAACCTCATTTGTTGTTGTTGTTGTTCCATTTGAGACATGTGAGTTTCATTTAATGCATGGGAATGTTACTTCTGTTCTGCAGAAGTGGCCTGCAGTTATGGTGGTCTCAAAAAAATTGACCACAAGTTATGATGCCAGAGATCTGGTTTGTTGTGTTTCTTTTTGTGGGGGAGACTTCATGTTATGTCATTGGGCATGCTATAGGCACGATCACTGCGCCCTCTCCAGGCTGGCAGAGCAATGTGCTTGCCACCTTTTCCACCTTAGGGTTGTGAATCCTCATTCTTGTTAAAGGTAGAGCATGGAGTTGAGATAGAAAGAAATATGCGCAAATGTGTCTAGCAACAAATAATATGGGGAGAGGCAACAGGGTGAGCGGTTCTAATCCTGTGGGAATGGAGCCATAGAGGATAGGAGACATGGGCTTCTGGTTAATACTGTATCAGAATGCCATATATTTGCTGCACCTTTCATTATTACACTAAGCTTCTCTGTTGGTAAAAAATGTAAATTCTCTGCAGCTTAGTTTCCTGGTCTGTAAAATGGGGAGAAGAAACACTACCCCCCACCCACCTCACAGTGATGTTGAAAATACCTGAAGATGTTTTAATATAGCTTGGTGATGAAATGAGTTGTGCAACAGCAATAATTTCTAGATTGACTAGAAGGCAAACACCCACGCTACCTTTAGCATCACATGTTTCTCATATCATCTTACCCCCTCACTTTCAACAGAAAATTACTACTGCAGCACCTGAGTTTTCTTTTCTTATGAAAGATTACGTGTTTGGTTTCATTACAAAGTTTAATTGTGCCGAGGAGTGGAAGGGTATGAAATAACGACAGTTAACATCTTCAGTGCTGTAATAATAAGAAGCCTAGACATATAAATTACTGCAGCAATTACAGCAGCACAAATAACGCTATTAATGCAATCAACTGTTAGTGTGAGTATTTGACAACAACCTTTAATCTTCCTTCAGGTGCAGCTATTTTACATTCTCTGCACCAGAATGAAACCTAATTAAACAATTAATGGTACTTTAGTTAGCTTGGAGGTGCTGCACTGGAATTTCAGAATTCAGAAATAAGACATTGCATGCTTTAAGCTGGTATTCAAAAGAACATTTCTCTTTGTGTCTGTTCATTTGCACCCACAGAATATT